GCGTGTCCACGTTTTCATAGGAGCAGGCTCTACCATGATTTGCAGACTAGAAACAATGAATGTAAGCTTCACAAGACTGCGACGAAAAATGAGTGCATACCATGCGATGAGGGTAGTGAGACAGTCCAGGCTCAACCTGGAAGAGCTGCAAAATGAGTGGGTCTGAAGCGGGGACGTGAGATACTCGTCAGCATCTCACATCCTCGCTTCAGGCCCACCCAAGTGCTCTTCCGAAAGGGGTGTTAAATCACCTCCGTCTCCCACGAGACGGCCCCGATGGAGCTTTCTCGGTTGTCGAAGATGTTGACGATATGGATTCGGCATTAGGATGAGAGGTAGAAGAACCATCCGCAGCCTTTAAAGTCGAGGGGGCCTGAGGAGGGGAAGATGCGGGTTCGGCATTGGGACGAGAGCTAGAAGAATCATCCATGGCCTCTGGTGTCGAGGGGGCATGAGAGGTCGAAGATGTCGATTCAGCATTAGGATGAGCGCTAGAAGAACCATCCGTAGCCTCTGAAGTCGTGGGGGTCTGAGAAGTTGAAGATGCGGGTTCGGCATTGGGACGAGAGCTAGAAGAATCATCCGTCGCCTCTGGAGTCGAGGGGGCATGAGCGGTCGAAGATGTGGATTCGGCATTAGGACGAGAACTAGAAGAATCATCCGTGGCCTCTGGAGTCGAGGGAGCCTGAAGAGGTCGTGTCATCAACCGGAGAGTCAGAAGACAATCAACGCGGCGTTTCGACGATGAAAGCGCATTGAATAGTTTCTCAGCATGTTCGCAAAGACGGTCAGACGACCAGCCCGGGTTGGGTGGAATGGCGTAGTCTGTTGGAAGCGCTACGATATCGCAATCTACGCGAAGTTTTGCGAGCAAGCTTTGACGAAGTTGCCAGGAGAGATACATAAAACTCCTCTTGGCGTCCACTAGGATGTTGTCCTGTCGCAGTTGTTCCTTCCGAAGGATTGCATCGGATCGGGTGTGTAACAGATGAACAAGTCCTCCGCTAGCCAAGACTGCGAGGAAGAAGCACACAATTTGTCGGAGAGAACTGTCCTTTGATGCTTCGAAGATGACGAACCCACTAAGGTCCCAAGGGCGCTTACGAAGAGGATCGTCTTGGTGTACACTGGCGGTTGTTTTTGTTGCCGTGTAACGAACCTCCATATACAAAGCGGTCGCGACTGGTTCCTCTTCTTCCATGATAACCGATAAAGGCGGGCGAGGGAAGGACGGTCGGCTGACGAAATCTTGTGAGGGTCCAACCCGAGGAAGATCGCAAAGCTGACCAGAACCTATTGTTAAAGCAGGGAGAGGGGGGAGAGCAGGGTCCAACGATTCTACGATGTCTCCGAGACGATAGAACGGGGTAGAAGGAGCACGGAGAGACATTTGGAACAATATGTCGAGCCAGTTCATCAGGGTTACGGTATCAAATTGAAGATCTGGAGGAAGGAGGTACCAGACCGTCAAGCGTAATGCAAGAGCGATAGCCGCAGAGGCGTCCGTACGGGCAATGACTTCCCTGATACTCGTGGCAGGTCGAGGGGGAATGACCGAGATGCTAGCCGCGCTTTCATTGGAGGGAGGCCTTGAGGAGTATTCCTGTAAGAACAGCGTTGCCGTAAGATCGTTGGCCCATGATTCCGCGTCCAGGAGGAATTCCTGATCGGTCAGAGAACGGACGCTTGCACGAAGCATGAGGTTTGATATGGTGTGGAACTCCAGCGACTGGATGAATTCCTTTGCAGAAACTAAAGCATCAGAGAGAAATGAGGAAGCCTTGGATTTGATGTTGCGCCAGTTTACGATCAGAGAGAGACGATCTGTGAACGTTGGGAAGATGGGGTCGGGGTCGTCCATTGGCATGGCGTGATGGGATAAGGGTTGAATGTCCCTCTGCAGGACCCGCGTTGTTGTAACTTTCAGCGTAGGCGAGGATGGGGGTGGAGTTGAGGAGGTAGGAGTAGCGGACAAAGCGGATACGCGGGTGAAGGTGCCATAAGCAGTGTTTGGGTGAAGAGTTTTTGTAGCGAGGTGGGGATTCACGTAGGCAAGGGCTATGGTATGAGCTGAAAGGCTCAGATAAGCGAGAAATTTTATTTTCCACATGGTAGTTGAAGAAAGAAAACAAAACTCGTCAACGGGCGAGTTTTATAAACGCGGTCATGTGACTTCTAAACACCAATTGTGGCGTGGCTGGCCGGTGGCCCACGTATGAAAGAAGGCTATAAATGCTGGTATTGTCCTATTAAGTGGTGTGAGATGCGGTAAGTATACGATAGCAAATCTATGGCGAGGTTGTTGAGGTGTAATATGCATGCACGTACAAAGCAATTGAAGAGAGTTCGCGATCTAAGTTCCAAACCAATACCCAAAATACTAGAAACGCCCAGTCTATTTACGACCGTCCGACCATGAAACGATAAGTGGAGTAGCCGCCAATCAAAGCGAAGCCCGCCAGACAGGCAACGATTGAGATGAACCATACATAGGTCTAACAGATCGAAACGAGTCAACAAACATGACAAAAATGAGAGAATTGCACATACTGTTTGATCGTCTTCCCCTGGTACATGGACATTCATACCCCACAAACCGGTAACCAAGTTCATCGGGATAAGGACAGTTCCAAGTGCGGTGAGCTTCGAAAGTACGTCATTAATTTGATTGTTAGCTTCAGTCATTTCAATAGAAATTTGGGCGAGGTAATTTGAATGGGACCGCGATAAGATCTTCTCGTAGTGATTCAAGTTTTGTGTCATCGTAATCAAGTGGTCCTGAAGGCAATGAATGAGCATCGTTTGTGCAAGCCAGGACATAGACGCCTACTTGGATATCTGAGAGATAAAGACCCTAATTGGAATTGGCTCAGTCACCATCCAGTGCGAGGAGTTATAACAACTTACAATGTCAGACGTGGGAGCAACCCTCCAATTCTCATTACACCTTTTAGCCAACCCCTTCACAACATCAGCCTTATTACCCATCAACCTCAACAAACCCATGACCTTTTTCCTACATGTACCGATTCTTCTCAACATGTCACTTTGCTCAGCTTCCTTGAGGATAAGCACAAGCTCGTCAATAGAATCGACTTCATACTCGATACCCTGAATAAGTGGACCAAAGGCGTCCGTGATGTCGTCAATCAGGGCGTAAGAAATCCAATCGGACGTCACGGCGATGTAATCCTTCAATTGCTTGATACGCCGTCTGACGTTCTGGGGATGGGGAGTTGGTCGGAAATGGAACTGCATTCAATGTTAGAAGTTACCATGAGTAAATGAAGGGGTGCACGCACGGAAAGGATGCCCTCGCGGAAAACAATGATATACATGTTAAGGGGCTCAAGGTATGTCGGGCTATATGGGTCCTGATCGAAGCTGCGGAAACAAACTAGATAATAATTGCGGAAAAGTTCAATTTTTTCACGGGTTTCCTCCATTTGAATATCTTCTGTTGTCAAAGGATGAATGGAAAACACCTGTCCACAGTATTTAATAAAGTCAGCGAAAGGTGCATTACTCTCTAAATGAAGGCACATGCCTTGCTTAGCATCTTCATCTCCTCATCTGTTGGAGACAACACATCCAACCACCAAGTCCGATCATCAGAATCGCCTGAATTTCCATTTCCTAGAGGTGGTGTTGGGCCCATTGGCATTTTATGGTCTGCCAACTTTTTATTGTTGTGGCCATTACCACTGGAAGTGTTACTGGGGCCGTTGGGGAATCCGAAATCACGGGACAATGGTGGAGGCGCCTGAGCATGTTCCCTGCTTCCCTCTGGATGTATACCAGTGAATAGTTGTTGAAAAGTCTGGCCATCGGCAGGGAGCTCGCTGAGACTTCGCGCATGGATCGTTGCGGCAAGTGCATTAGAGTAGAACGAGAAGCGGTAGGGTCGGTCATGGCCTGTGTTGAGAATCCCAGAGAGGGCAGGAGGTGGACCTGCATCGACACCAGAGGTTGGCTGCCGAGCAATGCTATGAATGCGGGAAGAAAGTGAGAGACCTCCGTGACCAGCATGGAATGGGTCATGCGCATTCTCAAAGAGAGCCATCTTGCCTGCGATGCCTTTACGGTGGGAGCGCGGATGCGGATTCGAATGACTGAGCTTGCGCTGGCGAGCGGTACTTGTGCTTGACCGTGGTTGATCTTCTCCGTCGGTTTCAGGTGATAGGATTGGTGGAGATACAAATCCTGCGCTGTTAGAGGGTCCTGCTTCAGATAGTTCTGGGTTTAAAGGTGGTGGAATTCGTCTAGGAGGGACTGTGTCTAGGGTAAACCTTGTGGTCGGTTGAATCCCGAGTGTGGCTTTTTCAACGACAGCAAACTCTTCCATAAGGCCAAAATCAAAGTCTGAGTGAAGTGCATCTGCCTGATATGTCGGGAGAGCATAAAGCGACTCGGGTCTCGGAATTTGAGAAGGAGGTTGGGCATGGGCCAACAGCGAAGCATCATGCATTGTGCTTAGATGCATTTTGGTGAGGTCGATACGTGAATCGTTCGGACTCGGCCCCAAAACTTCGTCCTCAACATCAGACTGCATGGCACTTTCAGGCAGATGAACATGCTCCAACCCCTCTTCATGTGGAAGTCTCTCCGGGAAAGCTAAAAGTTCCGGTGAACCAAGAACAGTCTCTCTTCGTGCACGAGATAATTGCATAGCCATGTCAACGTCCATTGTGCGTTGGCGTTCACGAGCTTCTGGGTCATTGTAGGACCGGGACAGAGTAGGAGAGTGATGAGGAAGGGGTGTCATACTGGCATCGCTTGAGCGCCGACGTCGGACATTCTGAGTGGGAATAGGATCTGTGGGGGGAAGAAAGGTGTCTGGCGACGATGAAAGAGCCATGCCAGTCGAATTCGACAATGGCTGCTCATCATCCATGGTTGTGGTTCACTTTCAAGGTGAAGGATCGAAAAAAGTTGGCAGGGCGCCCGTGATCAGGGATGATGATGAGGATCATGATTACATATTTTCCCATCAACATCGCGCCCCTGTTGTCTAATGGTTATGACGTCAGACTTCTATAATATACTACAGTATGGCATCTGGAGGTTGCGGGTTCGAGTCCCGCCAGGGGTTTCTGGAAAATATCGATGTCTTTTTCTGTTCTTTTTTATCCTTATAATTGTAGCCCACCACAACCATCGTCACAAAAAGCAATCCATGCTTGAATATATTCAACAGAGTGGTATATTACTAAAGCTTAAGATAAATCCTACTTCCGCGAACGCAACTGCGCCCTCAGAATCCCATTCTCATTCTGCATTGAATTCAGCTCGTCAAGCAACGCAATTCTCTGCGACTGCTCAGACATCCTCATCGCATCGATTTCGTCTTGAGCCTTTTCAAGTGCTGTTCGAGTCTCCGACAATTGAGCCTCCAGCTGTTTTCGTACCTTTTCAGGAGCTGTTGCTGCCTCCTCTGCAAGGGTAAGAGTGCGGGCACTCAGTGTGTTATTCGCCTCGGTTAGCTGCGCGCAGGTTTCGGCTTGTTCAGCAGCAAGCATCTCCAGTTGCCGCTTCTCATTCTCGATTCGCTCGAGGGAGTTTTGAAGGTGCTGCGTCTCTTCCATCCTGTGATGTAAATTCAGTATGACCAGCATGGATATGAAGAGCTGTATTCAATACTCACGATGCAGCTTGCTTCGAAACCATCGTCATATTCCGCTCCTCTAGCGTCCTGACTTGCTTTTGGTAAGTTTCCAGTGCACTATTGCCTTCCTGTGCCAGCTTTTGCGCACGCTCAGCGTTCTTCTTGAGCAGATCATGCGCCTGCGCGAATCGAAGAAGTCGCTCGATTAGCGCACGGTCATCCTGAATGAGTGCTTGCACGCGCGAGGCGAATGCCTCTATCGAGAACTCTCCTCCACCGACAGCTGGCGACATCGGCTGTCGTGTTGCGTCATACAGGGCCTTCAAAGAGCGCACATCAAGTTCAGAAAGTGATGAAATTGATTTTATGGGACCAGGACTCTGAGCGGTCGTGGGAGATCCCGTCCGATACATTCGTGACTGATTGCTGAACTTGGCCGCCCGCGCCTCAGGTGAGGGAAGTATTCCCCATATTGGCATCAGGACTTGCAGTATATGATCAGAGTCCGCAGACATAGTTGGCGAAGAAGCAAGTTGGGAACGGGAACGCTCGGTAGCTATGCGTGCCTCTTGTCGAGCCTCGTCACGTTCCCGGCGTGCCTCCTCGAGTTCGCGAACCAGCGCTTCGCGTTTGTCAAGGCTTGTCCGGATGTCCACTTGTCGAGCCTCGTCGCGTTCCCGGCGGGCCTGCTCGAGATCGCGAACCAGCGCTTCGCGTTTGTCAAGCCCTGTTCGGATGTCCTCTTCAAGCTTCCGTCGGACATTGTTCCAGTCGCTCTCGGTACGAGAATGTGTTTCCAGCTTCCCATGCACGGTATCCAGATGGGTGCCAACTGACGAAAGAAGGCCTTGTAGTGATGCCTCTCGAGAGAACAACACTATGCCATGCTGCTTCACGAGTAAACGGAGCGCATCAAGCCCAGCGTCAAGGTCACTGTGTGCTTGTTGGAGAGCTAGTTCGTCTTCTTCTCGAGACCTGTCCATCTCCTGTCGTAGCCGCGCCAAATCCTCCGTTTTCTCGTCCTCAAGCTCATTCTTCCGCCGCTCCCACACCCCTCTCTCCGCTTGCCACTGAGCCTTTGTCCGCCTGATCTCCTCCTCCATCTCCTCCAGCAGTCTACGACTCTCAGTCAACCCTTTTTCGGAATCAGCTCCGCGTGCAATCTCTATCTGTTCCGCCTTGGCTGCCTGGTCCTCCAACCGCATCCGTTCTTGCAGCCAAGCTTCCTTCTCCTCCTGCAATTGATGCATCTCAAACTCCAATTCCTCAAGCTTCGATGTCTCATTTTTAAGGTCTTGTATGGTCTCTTCTGCGCTCTGCAAATCCAGCCCCATCATAGTCTCCACCTCCTCCTTCTCCAACTTCATCATCGTCAGTTCTCTCGTCAATTCCACTTGTTTCCTACTCGCAGCTGTTAACGACTCCGTGGCTGCTTTCAATTTCTCCTCAAGAGCGGTAATCTCCGCGGCGGCAGTATCGCTAGGTAGCTGTCGTCGTGGTACCACTGCATCTGAATGGCCCGCAAATAAATGGGGACCGTCGAACCGTGACTTAGCAGATGCAGAAAAGCCCGTCATGCTTGATGTAGGGCTCAACAGGGTATTTCGTCTTGACGAGTCGTAGCCAGAATCCTCTCCTGCGCCGTTTGCTGTACCCTGAGCTGCCTTTTCTAGTCTCCGCAAAGAATAGGAAAGCACGCCAGCACGATGCTCAAGTAAACGACGTTGTACCTCGTGCGCACGTTCTGATACACGCCATAGCTCCTGCTGAACTGTATCCACACGTTGATTTGACGCAGCAACTTGTTCCTCATTTTGTTTGGAAACCTTCTTAGCAGCAGCATTAACCCTGGAGAGAGAAACAGCAGCGTCGCGGATCTTAGTCTCGAGTGTCAATTTCTTCGACATTGCTTCGATCCGAGTAGATAAAGTTTGTTGCTCCTGACAGCGGGCGACGTTAAACAAAACAAATGACAGATCCATTCAACATGTAGTGAACATACCCTAGTTAACTCGTCAACTTGGTCAGATTCCATAATTTCAAAGTCTCGACTATCAACAATTGCTTGTGATGCTAATAGACTGAGGAGTAACTCGTCTCGAGTAGTGGTAGCTGGTGATACACTGCTCGCGCCGGAGCTACGCTTATCTGAAAGATTTTGTTGTTGGGTCATTAATTTGCGGAGAGTCAAGCCTTTTAAATTTAATGGTGGGATGGGTGAGGATGATGGGGAGGGAGAATCTGTGAATTGCCGTCGGTCGATGGAAGAATTGCGACTATGTTGACCATCCAGTGGTGGCGGTGTTTGTTGTAAGCGTGAACGCGCTGAATCCTTCCTTATAGTAAGGGCAGGGGTTGGTGGTGTTGCTGTAGTTGGTGAAGGAGGTGGCCATGACGGTCCGTTCAAGGGTTTGGTGGCGTAAGGAAATGATTGATTAGATAGGTCTGCTGAACCAGGCGGAGGTGAGGAGCTGGTCGACGGCGCAGTGTTGCCCAAGAGCCTGCGAACGCCGTTCATGACAGTGTTGAGAAGGGGAAAGCATAAACAGGCACGTTGACGACGAATGTGACCCTAACCCTAACTCCTGGTCTGATCTCGGCTACTTGCCGTTTAGAGACGCACATACACATTCTTTCCTCGTCGTTCCCTCATTCATGTCCTCTTGAACGTCCATGTCGTTTACGTTCAACTGGCCTCGCTTTTCAGACCAGTTTCACTATGATGCAATTCAAATGCTCAATACCGCCCTTAACAAGGGCAACAAGCCCCCAATCATAGCAGACCGTATCGAGGTTGTCGAGCTAGAAATGGGGACGCAGGTATTTAACCTTCCTTTGGCCTGACTAGCCCTTGCATAAAATCTTGTAGCCACCAGAACTAGAAATTCGCGATATAGGAGACTTGACTGTAGACCAATTCCGAGGAATTTTTCGTCTCACATATTCTGGTGATGGCCATCTAGTTTTGAAAACCAAAGTTCAGGTACGAGCCTTGGAACTTGGAATCACTCATGTTACTAAAGTCACTGATTAGGCAAACCCATTGAACCACAAACAACCCGATATTCACCTTCTGGGAGGTTCCAGTGGTATGCTAGCAGCTAAACAACCACTTGTCGTGCCCATGCTCCTCCGTCTATCGAACTTCAAACTCAATTCATATGTTGTCCTAGTCGTCTCTAAACAAAAGGGGATCACACTCGTCTTTAAGACGGACCCGCTGCAGAGTGTTGATATTAACAGCACCTTTGATTCCATTGCCGTCATTCAAAAATTTATTCAACGCGAGATAGAGGGGCAACTTCGGCAAATGTTTCGCGAGGACCTTCCTGGTATCATTCACCGTCTTAGCCAGCAATGGGTCAAGGCAAAGGTTGAGGCCCCATACCTCCACAAGAATCCACCGCCGGTCACCAGGCAGCGAGATCCACTTAATATTCCTTCTTTCTCTCACAGAAGCGTGCCACACAGTCCTCTTGTGGACAACATTTCTCTTCCCCCAAGACGAACACAATCTGCCAATGGCAACTTTTCCTTTCCCCGACGTCCACGCTCCACCTCTGGCTACTCTGCTAGATCCTCTTCAAAACCTAAATCTCCAAAATCTAAATTACCCATCCTCCCTGTCGAACCCGTCTCTGATTCAGACCTGGAGAACTTTGATCCAACTTATGGTTTACGTCCTGAAGGTTTACCAACGAAAAGCGCGTTTCGCGGTTTCAGCAGTCTGTTCACAGCAAACAAGGGGCTTGCAGAGCTTGCAGAAGAGGAAGAGGATGATGAGGACGATGAGGACGATATCGACGGGGCAGCTTCTTTTGATATGGTCAACTGGGAACATACGGTGCCAAATTCAGGTGCCAGCACGACTGTCTTCGAGGATGCGCACGAGAGTATCGTAACCGAATCGGAATACGAAACAATACCGGCCGTTGGTGGTGGGACTGTCACCCGACCCCGAATATACCATTCGCATTCCATGATCCAACCAACATCAGGGCAGACCAATGCGACAGCTTCCTCTTCTAAACGCCCGTCTTTTGGGTCCATGGCGTTGCCACGGTCCGGATTTACTACACCTGGTCTTGTCTCTAGACATTCAAGTGGGCCAAGTTTCTATTTTGGAAATCCGTCCGGCTTCCACACTGCCCCACCATTTGGCACAACACCAGGTCGCCCTGTCACACCCGATAGTCTAGAAACTCAGCCTTCAAGGTCGAGCAGTGGAGGTGGTCTTACAACCTCAACTCCTCCTACAGAACAACCATCCCCTGAGGGCACCTATCGTAGCTCAACGCATCATCCAATGTATCCACGGTCACCCACTCTTTCACCCTCAATTATCGCCCCTTCTTCACGTCGTCCCTCTGTGTCTGCGGGATCCAACTTCGACAGCCTCGACGATATATCACCCTCCACATCACCATCTCACATCCCCAAAATCATCCTTAGACCCCAACTTAACAACACTATCAGCCAGCTATCAA